CCTTCAGAAGTATTCACACAAGAATACTTGTAAGCTTGAAAATTCTAAATTGTTTCTCCTTACACTGTAGTGTAAAGAAAGATGAACACCTTAGCAGAAATAAAACATTGTTTCTCTGTTCTCCAAGTTTTGTTGTTATTTGTTTCAGGTAATGTCCGATTTATTGGAATTTCTTGGCAAGATTTGTTCAGAAAGGATTTGCCAAAGCTCGCCTCTGAGGTTGAAACTGTGCCCAAAGTCACCCAGTGTGTTTTCTTTGTCCAAACAGGATTTCGACTGTTCCCCAAAGCATAGCCCAATGCTTAAACCACTATACTACGATGGCTCTTTCTCCAGCTATGATTGTTACAATCAAATTCTAAAACAATCTGATAACAACCACCATTAGTTGCAGAACCTGTTTGCATTTGTATTTTTCATTTTACACAAATTAACATGAATAATTTGGAGGTCAAGGTGGCAGGATTTAGAGCTCAGAACTAGAATTTTAAAGGAACACCAACAATATACGGAGCTCTCCATTAGTTTTTTGGGGTAGGTGGGATTAGCATCTGTTTGTGAAACTAAAAGAGATATCAAGAATATTAGAAGAATGCTACAAAGTGAAATAGTGCTATACTAATTAATCCAAGTGAAACACTTAGAGAAAAAAAGTGTAAGGGCTAAGAATGACAGGATAAATAGGAGTTTAAATTTGTAAAAAAATAACCAGATCAATAATGTAATCCTATATATTTTAGAGGAAGGAACATCCAAGTATTCCTTGCCTAAGGAAATCATATGAAATTCATGGGGTTGCTATAAGCCGAAAGGCAACTGGAAAAAAAGGACAAAAAACTTCCTTCTCAAGGAGTACTCCTAAGAGTTACATGGGACTTCTATCTGGGCATTTGTAAAACTGCATAGTGCAGAGCAAGGCAAATCTTAACCTTTTCTACTCATCCGCCTTGCCCTTGAATGTTTGTGAACGAAATTATATTTTCCTATATGCTTTACTTTGATGTGGCCCACTGATTTCAAGTCATTGACAGATGGCAAACACAACTGTGGGGGTTTGTACAGTGAGGATACAATCTCAGACACTCTTTCCTTGGCTAAATGGTTTCCTAAGAAATGAGAATGTTTAAGAATTACATCATATTATAGCAGTTCAGCCCATAGCTGTGAGAGGGGGTTGTAGGCTGAAATGATACCATCTGTTTTCACAGTCTTCAAGACAAAGAACATCAGGACAGAATAATAGAAATATAAAGTTTAAGAGACCACAAGGGCCATCCAGTCCCCCTGCCATGCAGCAAAATTCAATCAAAGCACTCCCGACAGGTGGCCATCGTGTCTCCTGGAGATTCCACCACACTCAAGAATACTAGAAATTGTTTCTTTCATCTTCTGTTACTAAAAAATAGAAGAAACATCTACTATTCTTTTGTTGAAATCAAATTCAAGCTGTGGATTGCTTCAGGATGTGCTATAATAAGCTTTCAGAACTTCAGGAACAATGTATTTTCTTCTTTTTTAAACATTGAAACCAAAAAGGGTATCTAAAAACAGCTTTATATGTCAGTGAATGGATTGCTGAGAAAATTGAGGTCCTATACTGATTTGCCAATATTTTGTTGACATAATAAGCACAATAAAACAGTAATCCTTGTCAGATAATCATTTTCTTTAGAAACTAAGACAACTTGGGAGGAAGCTTTACATTATTTGGAATACCACAATATGATTTTTAAAAAGAAAAAGAAAAGAAAATCACCTCCTCCCATCACCGTCCATGGTGTAATGCTGATGGACAGCATCTCCAATTCAGCCAGTTCACCACCCGCCCTGCCTGCCCCCTGCCCCAAATTCCAGAAGTAAGGAAGTCTCCAAAGTTCCTCTACCCTGAAAAATCTACATGGGGAAGAGCTTTATTTACATCAACACAAGAATACCAAGAGGAGAATATTGGAGCAATAAATACAAGAGCCACTAACCTTTAAAGCCCTTAATGGTTCTGGTCCAGATTATCTGTCTGAACATATCTCTTGTTATGAACCATCACAAAGCTTAAGATCATCGGGAGAGGCCCTGCTCTCGATCCCACCACTTTTGCAAACGCCATTGGTGGGGCAAGAGACAGGGCCTTTTTGGCAGTGGCCTCATCTGTGGAACTGCCTCCCTAAGGACATCAGGTTGGCCACCTCCCTCCTATCCTTTAGAAGACAACTGAAGACCTGGCTCTGAAACCAGGCGTTTAACTAGAGGTGAATGGCAATATGAAAAACTTTTTTGGACATTGCGACACTAGATTCTCCCGGTTTAGCATTGGCGTATTGGTATGTTAGCTTGTTGTTAATGAATTGTGGGATTTGTATGTATTTAAATGGGTTTTATAGCTTTAATTGTGATATATATATATATATATATATATATATAGAGAGAGAGAGAGAGAGAGAGAGAGAGAGAGAGAGAGAGATATGGATAGCATCTTCAAATGCTTATGTAAGGCCGCCCTGAGTCCCCTTGTGGGGAGAAGGGCAGGATAGAAATGTAATAAATAAATAAATAAAGCCTGTGTGCTTAACTGATCTCAATGAACATGGAAAATGTTCTAACATTTCTACTCTGCATATCTTAAGTAGTGATAAGATTTTGTGTATAAAGATACAAAATCCCAAAAACCAAATGGTGGGTTTCCAGATGCCCACATAGTGATATTCCAAAATATCACTGTGCTGTGCTGCATTTTGTATATAATTTATATTTCAGAATAATTTAAATGTACTGAATTAACTCTTCTCTGTCAACATTCCTTTACAATTTCTTGTATAAGAATTTACCCTCCTTTTGTCTTTTCCGTATTTTATTTAACTGGAATGGAAATGAATCATCATGGTATGATATACATTAGTGTAAACAAGGCACTCATCACTAAAAGTACAAAATATTTTTTATTGAGGCATAAAACTAAACAAAAATAAGTTGGCACTTTCTGGTTTCATCAATATCCCCCATCTCTAATCAATACTTGTTTGATGCATTGGCAGATATTGCAACTTCTTCATGGGTATCAGCTTTGCATTAACCAGATGCTATGATTTTTGCTTGCTCTTCTTGGCAAATACTTCCAATCCTTCTTGGATATCAGAATTGCATTATCCAGCCTGCAGTTTTTGCTCATTACTTTTGGCCAAATTGTTTGTTTTGTCAGGTTTCATATTCACTTTTAAGTCTTAGCACAGAAACTAGGAGGCTGTTGTACTAATGTTGAAGCACTTGTGATGGTGTTGTCAATCACGTATGTGACTACACACTGTAGAGTGGAATATCAGTTGTATATCACCCCTGGATAAGCAGAGCCATTCAAAGAAGAGGAAAAAGCACAAATGCTGACCAACCCTGGCTGCCATCGCTGATAGTTTTGCACCCAGGCATTCATAAAGGCCAGAAGTGGCTCCATGGCTAAGTAGAGGGGGTTAGTGCTTCTAGGATTGACTAAACTATTGCCCTTTACTACTCTACTCAGATAATGGAATGGTTCCTTTTTTGATAAGTTACAGTACAATACTCACTGACTTATGGATAAGTCCACCTGGTTTGGATTTAGTTTTTTTACTTTAATTTCTAGACTTATGTACGTGAGCATATACAGTATATCTGGAAGGTCTAGGCTTTGACCTTGTCACTGTACATTCCTGGAAGATGAACCAACTTCACATATCTTGCAGCCTGAAACAAGTTCTTCTAGAATTGCCCTGGATTTGACTCTACCCATCTCATTCTCAATCATGTCATTTCCTCAGTTCCTGTCCAGAAGCACGGTATCTCCACTATGCTTGATGAAGATATTCTCAGCGGAATGGAATTATTGACTTTGCACCACACATTTTGTGGCAAGCCAAGTTTTCAGTTTGTTTGTATCAGAACAGAGCAATTTTGTTCATGTTTGATGTCTCCCGCATACTTCTTTGCTGCAAACACCAAATCGACTTTCAGCAATGATTTTCTTTTTGCTGTTGTTCCATTAAAAACACAATTTACAAATTAGGCTGATAGTTTTCCAATGGACAGTTGCTCCCATCTTGGTGTAGCTCTCTCCTGCTCCTTCATAATCACCATTGTCCTATTGGTTGTTTCTGATTAAGGCCTTCCTTACCTGATCATGGAGTTTAGGTGGATTCTGGCTCAACCAAACTATAGGCAGAGTTGAGTAATTCTTTTCATTATGAAATAATGCATTTAATGCTTCTTTAGACATTTAGAACCACTCTCTGGAGCTTTCAAAAGGAAATGGACACCACTGGACTACTATTAATGTATGTGATGTCTTGCACTGAGTTGTTCAGATCTTTTAAGCATGTCACAGCATAGCATTGAACATTTACACCATCAACACAAGCTATTTTCCATTTCTTTCGTACCATAAAAAAAATTGTTTACTTTCATGGGACTGAATATCCTGCAGTAACAATACCTAATAAATCCATTTCAATTTTATGTTGTAACACAACAAAATGGAGGAAAGTCAAAGTAGACTGAATACTTCTACAAGTCACTGTATATAGAAAACTACTATCACCAATTTGATAACAAAAAAGCATAAAACAATTCTAATTATTACAAGCATGTAAGTCTCAAATGGATGAGTAGGATTTACATAGCTGAGGTATTTATATATTCTTCAACAAGTTCTCTGGGCAGAAAATAATAACAGAAAGAACTAAAAATATTAAGCCTGCCAGGTCCTCATTACAGTACATACAGATATAAATCTTATAGAGGTATATATAAAAGAATAAACATTGCCCAATTATTTTTAAAACCCCATGTGCCCTTCTCCCAAGATGTTCATATTATATTTAAACAAAGTCTTGAACTGTTAGACTTTGGAAACAATTCACTATTTGTTATTAAAATTAAACCCCAAATTTTATTCAACTAAGAGCAGTATTTTAAATTTCACCAGTGTTCACTTGGATATAGATTTGCCCTTCAGAAGTTGAATATGCAACTAATCATTATACACAGTAGGCATCTTAATGTTTTATTCATTGCATTCTGCATACAGATAAGCTTCACTGATATTTAGTTCACTGTAGCATTCTGTAGGTGGTGACAAGATTACATGAATTATAAAGAACTTTAAAATTATATATATATTCAGCTGATATAGTATCACAGTTACTATAAAAAAACAAAATCACAATGGAAACTAAGGCTTTTTAAAAATGCCAATTAGTTTGTTTCTTTACAGTTTTAGAGATTAGAAACTAAACTCCAGTACCTCAAAAATAAACAAATCAATGGTAGTTTCTAGGAACCAGTATTCAAGTAATGCAGAAAAAATACACTGTGAAAAATTGTTCTTCATTAAAGTTGTATTCCTATTTACACTATGTTAAAACCCTTAAAGTTTGAATGTAATGTAAAAATAATTTGTAAAACATCATTTCATATAAAATGTCACTTAATGTGTTATGTCTGAAACTAAACTCTCTTAAAATGTTCAAACATGGATTGAAAACACAGCAGTTATTTGTTACTAAGCAATTGCTTAGAAAAACTCCCCAGAAACTAAGCTCAAGATCGTGGCTACAATCTGTCTCATTGAACCCAATGGGATTTATGCAAGCTCAACTGTGCCAGGACTACAGCCCAGAGCTGTACATATCTAGACCACATAAAATATAACAAAGGTCATATGAAGGATGCAGAATTCAAAATGACAAATATTAAGCACTGTTCACATAACTGTAAAACTATCAGGATTCACAATATCAACTCTTGATGTTTTCAGGGGAGAAAAACATACTAAAAGGGAATACTCCATTACACAAAATGAACAAGAAAAATTGCTTGATGAAGCAATTCAGAGTAGGTCTTTTTTTAAACACTATGATATGTGTAAGACTCTCGGAGATTATGAAATGCCTTTAACCTGCGAACACTTTATCCAGTTACCCTCCTAGCAGCCCCTCCTGTTTGTAAATAGAGAAGTGAAGAGTGTTGTACACACACATATATGTATAAGAAAATGCTGAAAAAAAGCAACAGTCAAAAATATATGCTGCTAAGAGGCTCCTAGATAGCATCCATAGCACTTTAATTTTAATGTAAAAATTACAGAGGGAATGACAAGTAGGTGACATGTGCAAATATTTTCTTAATGTAGGCTTGTCATCAATGGAGATGATTCAGATTTATGTAGCAGCATGAGGTGCTAAAGTTGTAGTCTGGTAATGGCATATGCCAACGTAGACATACTAATGCATTGCTCCATCAAAGTGCCCAAGAGGACCATGATGGCCAACTAAAAAGCATTTAAACAAATGACAGAATAAGCAGTTTCAGAATAAGTTTCAAATCACTGATTTGGAAACACGTTCTGCAAACTGGTCTATATGGGTAACAAAATAGTGTATTAAGACAAGATAACTCAATTACACTAGCATACGAAAATATGGTTTTAAATGAAAAACAAATCTCAACTTGCATTATGTTAGACAACATTCTTCAAATGTATAACACTGAAAATGTTAAGCCTAATTGCAATAGAAATAAGCTTTTTCTGTACAGTTTGATGCTTTTGTCTATACCATCTATAGTAGAAAAATAAATTCTTTAGCAACCTAGAAACAGTTTATAAAACTTGTTGAAGTTTAATTCTTCTTTTAGCATGCCTATGTTAAACTGATGATTATAAATAAAGGCTATTTAGACAACCGATGTAATGTAAAACAAGTTAATGCTACTACATTTACAGGACAATGTTTTATTATTGTATTTATATCCTGTGTGCTTTGAATCAGAATGGAGGGGTTTTGCTGTAGTAGTTGTGGTTTAGAAAAGGTGGTTTACTTGAAAGAATATAACACAAATACCAAGATAATTTATAATATACAAATACTTCAACAGCAGCTTGGGTTATGGTATTTTAACTATAATTATAGTTTAGGTCGTAAGTAGAAGTACAATACCTAGGACATAACAACTAAAAAGGCAATTTTTATTTTGGAGAATTGGAGCAAAGCTCTTAAAGAACCTTAATTCTTAAAAATCTTTGTGGGTTAAACTTTTAGAAGAAATGTAGAATTTCAAACTGTTCTACTAGCTATGATACTTAGCAAACTATGAAAGATTACAGTGGCAAAGTTTTTCATCACTCATGGAATCCCAGCATTGGAATAAATCAGGTTCTTAAAAAAACATACTTTGAATATGAAGGAAAAGGATAGCAAGGAAACATAAATGCTTAGATCCAAACCATTTTCACTGTGGGAGAGAGAGACAATTTTTGCAATTTTTTATCTTTTCCTGCTGTCCTTCTAAACTTTTGCTACAGATTGTGGAGGTGGTTCTGAGGACAGCAGAGGAAAATTGAGAAAAGCTATCTCGCTCTCCCTTCTTCAATAAGACAGTGAGACTCTCTGTTGGATCAAAAGCCTTCCATGAATGGAAGGAACCCTTCCAGTTACAGATGGCAACTTCCGAGTCTATTCCCAGTATCTTAGGTTCATTCCAAAACATATCATTCCTAGCTTGCTATCACAGCTACTAAACATTAAGATTAACCAAGAATGTTTAAAACTTAAGCAGCATTCTTTTACAGCAAAACATGTACCAAGGTTTTAAAAATGGTGCAAACATAATGATTTTGAATGGTTAGTACAACAGAGTATCCAGGGGGCAGGGAACCCACATGAATAAAAATGTAATTTTATGTACACATCATGATGCTTCAGTACCCAAAGTATTTATTGCTATATATTAGCAATGATTTTTATATACTTTTAAAGGGGCTACAGAAAAATAGATATAGTGTATATGTTAACTTTTAAGACCTAGATTGTTTGGTTTAGCAAGTTTACACTACAACAAAGTTCTCATTTATGTATGAAAAGTTATATACCCTTATATGAAAATGTCAAACTTTTTTTCTATATACTAGATGAATTCCCGTGGGAAAAATTAAAATATCTAAAATATATTAGATTGGGTTTACAAGACCATTAATGATCTTTCAAACATGCAACTGTTTACAGAATTAACAGTATTACAAAACATTTCATTTATTAATGCAAAATAAGGGGGAAATAGGTAATAATAATATTTCTGCACAATGGTTAAACTCACTTTTACAATAAGCATGTCCTTGGTATTGTGCTGTAAGGAAAAGTAATTTTACCAGCCCCTTAAACAAAAATGTCCACAGGTTTCTTTAGGAGAAATGGAAAGTGTAGTATTTATAACAGTGCAGTTATAAGAAACTGTAATGTAGCATAACTGCTTCAGAATTTACAAACATGGTACATCTGTATTTTGGCTGTTCTCAGCAAGGGGAATGAAACTATCAGGAAATAAAGAGCATTAAATAACAAAAACAGCCCTAAAGCAGGCTGTAAGCTTTGAATGTTCCGTACATGATTTATTTAATCATTACATTTCTATAGAAAAGTTTTATTCACAATAAATTGTGACAACCTGTCACAGGAATGATAGTGACTGCAATAAATGTTCATGCAACAGCAGCTTTGCACTTCAGTTATTTCTGTTTTAAAAAATTAAACCTCTCCGGTCATGCTAATCACACAATGTTGAACTGCAGTGTTTATGCACAAGGTGTAAAGTATGACTAGAACAAAAACATCTGAGTTTGGATCCAAATTCTTTCATAACTATGAAAGTTGTCTTTGTATCTTGGAACATGCATGTGAAGTTTTTCTTTTCTATCCAATGCCAAGCTGCCGACAACCTCCTCTTTACTATCAAGCTGTAGTTAAATAATGCCAAGAGGATCTGCTTGCAATTGTGGTTGTATCAGTTGAGGTTGTAGAGGTGGGGGTAACTGTAGTGGTAAAATTTGATCCACCATCTGAACTGGGTTGGGAGGTGGAGGTTGATGTGCCACACTGTCAAAGGGTTCAAAAATTTCTCCACCATAGAAGAAAAACTGGCACTGTTGAATGAATGTCTCTATTACAGATTGAAGGATCTTGGTGGTTGATAAGAACTCTCTGTTTTCAAAATCAGGTCTCATCAGTGTTGGCCAAAAACAGATAGACAAGTTGTCTGCAGTCATAAAATTGGTTCTGCTTTGCTGACTAACCCTATAATATAAAGAAAAATGTTGCAGAATTGATTTAAGTAAAACTGAAGAAGGTAACAAGAATAATATTTGAAAATATACTACACAAACTGCATTCAACATATTAAACAGCAGCACCGTTTAATCAGGGATCCTGCTAAACATTACATTCTGAAAGCAACATGAGAATGAATGAGTTTTAGATTAGTCTCCACCCACATCCTTTTCCCTGAGGAAACAATACTAGATCACAGAACTTTAGCACAAGCTCCCAAATCTAGTATCTGTCAGAGAGATTTATCACCTGCTGGGATAACATTAGAACTGATAACAATAAACAAGAATGCAGATTGGTGCGAGTAAAACCCAAGTATGCAATAGCCAGAAACGTATTACTTCTACATACCACCTTCAAAGAAGAACTTCTATAATGTATACTTATACCCTTTAATATTTTTTTCTTTATTCATACAATATTCACTGATGTTTATCTGAGGATATTTATTCCTTCATAGCTGCCTTGTTAAATCTTAGCCTTCTGATTTCTTGACTAGTCTCCTTTTGGTTTGACAACCAAACTAAAGCATACAAAATATGTTAACAATTTCAATGTCTTAAATTTTAAATTAATACAAATATTCTATGGATTTTTTTTCTTCCCTTAATATACCATTGGAACGTCGTTTGTGTATTTTCTTCCTTAATATTTTTCATTCATCTTTGTCAGATATAGCTTAATGGTTACATTCTTAGTCATTTGCACTGTTATTTGGTAAAGGATGTACCTGTTCAGATGTGTTATGATGTATCTGAAGACTTCATAGTTCACGGGATGGAATTTTTTCACAATTTCTTTTAATTCGTACAGCCTCTCAGTCTTATCAAGAATTTCTGTAGAAGTAAGTTTTTAGAAAAAAAAATTAAATTAAATAGAGTATTGAAATAGGAAAGTTAAACAACATCTTTCTGTTTTCTTGTATTCCATGGTTTCTCACTGCAACTCTCAGTTCGTAAAAAAAGAAGAAGAAAAACTAAGTAGCAAGGAAGACTGGGTACACCAAAAATATTGGAAGGAATAATCTGGTCTTTGAAAATTATCTTGAAAAACATAAAAAAGATTGATCTCAGTGGAAATCCAGATAGTCAGATACCTATCTCTATCACTGTGGTATGCTTCCAATTTGGGGTCACCTTAGGGTCACCACTTATGATGATCCTAAGGTGAAATACATCAGACCCCATTTGATCTTGGAAGCTAAGCAGGATCAACTCTGATTAGTACTTGGATGTGAGACTGCCAAGGAATGCCAGGTGCCATAGGGTTATTTTGGAGAAAGGAACTAGCAAAACCAACTTTGAGTATTCCTTGCTGAATAAAACCCTTTGAAATTAACGGGTCACCTAAGCCAACAGGCACCCTAAAGGCATACACACACGAAGTAAACCAATCACAAGGTTTTCTTGGTAATATTTGTTCAGAGGCTGCAGGAGCCTGACTTGTCCAAAGTCACCCAGTAAGTTTCCCTGGCGGAGTGGTCTTTCAAACCCCTGGTCTCCTAGAGTCCTAGTCCAACACTAAAAATCATTACAATATGCTAACTCTCATCTCTACACTGCATGTGTTACTTACACTCTTAAAACAGCTGTAGGTACCTGTAGTACATCAAAAGATTTATCCTATAGCTGGGATGGGGGGGAGGGGCACTGCCTGAAAAAAGTTTACAAACATGGAGGGGAGCAAAACCTGGAATTCTGATTTTGAAAAATTTGGGGTTTAAATATTAAAGTATGCATAGGGACCTTGTAAATAATTTAAAAGGGAAATGATTGCTCCCAGAGATTTCAAGAGAACCAATTTACCCTACTTTGCCAGAAAAAAAAAGAAAATGAGAGTTGGGCTGAGTAACATTTGGTTGGGCTTGTACACCCTCTGCCCACACCAATTCTTAAATAAAGTAGTAACAATTAAGTCAGTAAACATCATAATTAGATGTCTAAGAACTCTTTTCCTTTTAGAAAAGACACATACAAGCTTGTAGGTACCATTCCTCATATTTGGGAATTTAGATAATCTTGGAAATTGCCGAGATGGGAAACAAGCATAACAGAAGCAAGTATTTATTCTACCCAAGAGTCAGTGGTTAGCTTTTACAGATGCACAAGTAGCAATAACAGAAATGCCAACAATTCCTTGTAGATTGACAGACATATTAAAATGAGTTACCATATGTCTGCCAATTGGAGCAAGTGGGAGGAGCAACTTATCCAAAAGATTTTCTCTTAATTGTTGGGAAACGTAACAGGTGAGCTAGTGTTCTATTTCAAATTTGTGAGGAATTATAGTAATCAGAAAGCCTAGTTTCATAATTGAAATTTGAGAACAATTATAGATGGCAAATTCAGAAGTGTGTTGAATAGGGTTACACTTCCCCTGAAGATCCAGGTTTATGTAACTAAAGCTGGTATGTCTACTACACCCAATCCTAGAGATACTCCAAAACTTTTTCAAAGTTTTTGAAAACTTTTTCAAAGTTTCAGTTGTTCCAAAGAATTGTAGTCAGACTGCTACAAAAAGCACAGAATTCCTTTGTTCCAACAACGCCATTGGCTTCTGGTCCATTTCCAAGCACGATCTGAACTGCTGATTATTATCCCTATTGCAGCTTGAATCTAAGCTACTCAAGAGCCGCTCTGAGTAGCTTGTCGAGAGAAAAAGCGAGGTATAAATAAACATAATAATAAAGGGTATTTTATCCCCATATGAGTTTTTTCAAGCTCTAAGATTTTTGAGCGAAGCTTCTACTATTTGCTCAACCACCTCCCCAGCTTGTTTCACGGGAACAAGGAACTTCTCAGTGGCTGCTCTCAGACTTTGAAACTCCCTTGCTGGGCAGACTAGGCTGGTTCCCTCTTTGAGCTAGCAGATGGAGACTGTCCTACTTCATCAGGCTCTTATAAATAGACTATGAAGGGATTTTTAATGTGTGCTGTTTTGTTGACTTTTAATATTTCTTTAATGAATTCTAAATGGCCTCTTGCTTTTAATGTCATGATTTTAACAGTTTGTAAGCCATTTTGAATCCCATTCCTGGAGAAGAAGCAGGATAGCTAAAGAAAAAACTTGGTAGCATAATGGAAAATCATACTAGTTGAAATTATCATAGCTGTCTTTGAATTTTGCCACCATGGAAAGCACAAAATTTGGCCAGATTGAGTGGCAACAAACAGTGCTCTAGGAAGCTACTATGACATCTGATCAGCTTTCTGTACAGCGAACAAGAAAACATCCAGAGAAATCTCCAGTCTAAAAGCATAAATAATTCTCTACTTGAGTCATCAATGGATAGAACTTCTCAAAGAACAAGAAAACCACCTATGAAACACAGTGATGAAAAATGGGAAAAAACAGGTTTTTCTTTACTACTGCAAGACTCCATGACCTACAACAGGACTACTGTGAACCAAGACAAGAATATTGTAAATATTGTAAATTTGGAAAAGGAAAACCACAACGGAAAGGAATTTCAACAATCACCCGCTCAGAGCGTCCCTGCTAAAAACTTGGAAGAAGTACAAGGAGAGATGGTACACGAGAACACCAATGTGGATAGCCCCAAACGAGGCAGACCAGAGGAGGGAATCACCGAACGAAAAGTGGCTGACATACAAGCAGTTATTAAAGATTGACAATCAAGAGATAAAACTAAAATCATTAGAAGAGATAAGACAAGTGCATCCCAAATTTTCATGGTTCCAATACTGGCAGGTCAACGAAAACTTCAAAGAAGATAAAAGAACAGGCTTTGAAACGAAAGAGAAAGCATGGGACAAGATACTAAGAATGGAGAAAAAGACGATCAAAGGGCTGTACCAACAACTACTAGTATGGGCGACGGAGGAAGAACAAGTTAAGGAGGTGATGATCAAATGGGCCAGGATGATCGGGCGAACAGTCACTATGTCAGAGTGGGAGGAAATGTGGAGCAAAAAACTAAAATATGCATACGCCACTGAAATTAAAGAAAACTGGTTTAAAATGTTTTACCTATGGTATCAGACACCGGAGAAAATTGCAAAATACAGCAAAGGAAAATCCGATAAGAACTGCTGGAGATGCCAGAGGAAAAAAGGAACATTCAGACACATGTGGTGGGAGTGCAAGGCGGTCAAGAAATTTTGGAAAATAATATACCAGAAAATCAAGGACATACTAGAAATCGAAATAGAATTCAGACCAGAACAATTTCTATTAGGAATGAATAACTCCGACTTGAATAGAAACGACGAAAAAATCCTCTTTTACCTCACCACCGCGGCTAGGATCTGTATAGCCAGAATATGGAAAAGTAGGGAAACAGCAACATATAATTCATGGATTATCAAGGCCATTGATATTATGAACATGGATCACTTAACTCAAATGCTAAGGAAAAAGGAAACAACGAATAACAAGACAGACTGGAGCAAATTCACAACCTTCTTAAAGAAAAATAACATAAAGTACTGGTAAAATACTAAGTAAAATTAGCCCTCTGTGGGTATACAGAGCTGGACAGCAATGGACCTCTAAGATTAGCAGGATTAGTAAGACAAAAACCAGTTATATAGAATGGAAACATGTGTCGGCGGAAGACCCTGGAAGTCAACCCGAATACGTATGTGGTAAATGTTGGTATGTTTATAGATATTTATGTTGGTATCTCAAGGGAGGGGGGGAGGGGAGGGTGGTCCAGGGAGGGTGGTCCAGGGAGGGCGAGAAGGCAGAAGTGTATACATCAGTCTAAAGAAAATTTGCTTGAGAGACTGCCACGTGGGAATTCTCTTAGGAGGGTATTTTATGCAGGGTTTGTAGTTTTCTTTTTTTGTTTTTGCCTCTGTCTTTGTATGTGATGTCCTTGATGTTTTATAATGGAAAACCAATAAAGACTATTAAAAAAAAAGAATATTGTAAATGTATCAAGCCATGCTTCAAGTCAAAAAGAAGGAGGTTTATTCTTCTGCACCTCAAACCCACACACAATAAATTCGGTGGTGATCTAAAGGCTCTCTTCCATCACACTGAGGGCTACATCAAGAGCTGTGACATCAGTCAAAACAACAATGCACAAGGATAATCCCAATCTCCACAACACAAGAACAGAAAAAAAAACTACATGGACCTTCTGATAGCAAGTGAACAGAACCATCTCTAGATAGATCGTTTCCCTTGTCGCATCCAGACAGAAATAATCAATGAGAGACATACCGTATATACTCAAGTCTAAGCCAACCCGAATATAAGCCAAGGCACCTAATTTTACCACAAAAACCCAGGAAAATTTACTGACTCGAGTATAAGCTGAGGGTGGGAAATGCAACAGCTACTGGTAAATTTCAAAATAAAAATAGATACCAAAAAAATTACATTAAGTGAGGCATCAGTAGATTAAATGTTCTTGAATATTTACTTATTACAAAGGCAAACAGTAAACTAGCTCTGTAAGTGGAAAAGTAGGGTCAACAATAACAATATGGAATCAACAATAACTTTATAATAACAATAACAATAAAACTTCATTTGTATCCCACCCTACCTCCCCATTGGAACTCAGGCCAGCTTCCAAAGTAGTAACAGGTAAACATTAAATGCCTATATAAACAGTGCAAAGATATAGATCTATAATTATATATACTAATTTCACATATGCATTTTCCCCTGAAACGTTTGCAGATCCTCTCTATATATGTGCATTTACCAGGGTAAATGCACATATATAGAGAGGATCTGCAAACGTTTCAGGGGAAAATGCAGTATTTGCAAGCCCTATAAATCTCTACTTATATATATATATCTGGACATCTTTCTATATATAGATAATTATATCTACAGTATATAGGATTTGCAAAGACTTGCAAACGTGATGAAAAAATTCATAAATAAAATTATATACCGTATTTTCCAGCATATAAGACTGGGCATATAAGACAACCCCCAACTTTTCCAGTTAAAATATAGACGTTGGGATATAACTCGCCATCTAAGACTACCCCTCTTCCAACGCACACCAAATAAAAAAATTGATTTGATTTCAATATGGTAATTTTCCTATTACCGTACCTCCTTAGCCTCTCAGATCTCACACATGCGTGCCTGCACCACTTCACTGCAGTCCTCAGAAGCGAGATCTGAGAGGCAGAGAAGGAGGTATGGTAAAAGGATACAATGGTAGGTCAGAAAGGTGAAAGAGGCATATTTTTCTGGGCACAGCACCACTCCATCTCTTTTTTCCATACCCAAGCGTCCTTCCCGGTGAGGCGCCCCATCACCTCAGTATTGGGACTGTGTTAAGTCACTTCTTTCCACGAATCCTGGTGAGTGGATTTTCTTCTACCATACTTGTGCAGTGCTGCCCTTGCTGCTTTCATATAGTTGCCACATATGGCGGGGATGTGGCCGCAGCCATTTTTGAGCTCCTACCACCATGTGCAGACACCGCAGATTCTCCAGTCCTGCTCCGAAGTTTCACCACCCGCCCAATTAGACGACACCTGGCATATAAGATGACCTCTGACTTTTGAGAAGATTTTCCCGAGTTAAAAAGTAGTCTTATACACCAGAAAATACGCTCACATATACATACACACACAGAGATGTATAGATATATAGATACCTCTATATATTTATCAATATTTATATCTATACAGGATTTGCAGAGACTTGCAAATATGTAAGGGGAAAACTCATATATAAAAATAATGTATACATATGGATAGATATATAGGTACATGGAAATCTCCTGATATCTATTTGTATATAGGATTTGCAAAGACCTGTAAACATAAGAGGGGAAAATTCATATATAAAATAAATGTATATAGACAGGTACATAAGGATTGCAAAGTCTTGCAGGGGGAAATGCCTATACATCTGTAGGAGAGATTAACAAATATTTCAGGAGAAAATGCTTTTATAAGATTAATGGATATATATGATTTGCAAAAACTTTAAGAGAGACATGCATATATAGAAAGATATTTATCTACAGGGCTTGCAAAGGCCAGTGAACACTTCCAAGGGAACAAAAATGCACATATAAAATTAATACATTTAGATACACAAAAAGCCAGGAAATTGGGTAGGTTTGAAAGAGAGCAATAAAAACAAGGAGGACATGAAATATATCTACTTTCCCCCCTTTTGACTAGAAAAGAAAACACATTGTTAAGGGAGATAAGAGGAGAGAGAAATATATCATATATTGCATGCAATGGCCTTCATGCTCTGCTGCCCGGCCTTGACCCCATTATAAGCCGAGGGATGCTTTTTCAGTCAAAAAAAGGCTGAAAAACTATAAGAGGCTGAGAGGTAATTGTCTAATACGATATTTTTAAAACCTATTTAACGATACCGCAGGCAAATATTAAAAGCAATTATACTCCAGGAATTTTTCATGGAGGTTCAGAACCAAATGCTATCAGCCACACATTCAGGAACATTGATCTGGAACATTCTATCTATTACTCATAATATGCAGACGGGACTACGCTGGACAGCCCATCATCTCAAGCAACAGAAACTCACAATCAGTTCCTCTGGAAATATAGACAATATTATCAGACCATATGCCAGCAACAGTCCTAGTTATATAAAAGACACTACTAGGTCCTGCAGAAATTACAGTCCATCCATAACCTCCCTGGGACCTCAATCTTAGCAGTATAGATGTGGAATCCCTATATACCACAATCCCCCAACAAGGATTCTCCAAGCATTTAGCTATAGAATGGTAAATATATGTGTTTCAAAAAATGCCTCCTATCTTTGTTTTCCGCAGAAAGGGTTATACAACCAAAAGAGTAAGAAAAGCAACACTAGAGAATTCTACAATTCAAATCCAAAGAAAGATTGTAACTCCCAAACTGCTCAAAGTAGATTTTTCTAGTATTATTCAAACATGGAGATTTTGTAGATGAAATCTGGAGTAAAGTTACACACAGGTAACACTTCCATTCGTGGATAAAAAGAGGAAGATCTATCAGCACCTAATATCCTCCAAAATCTATGAAGTGTTGTGGTGGCTGGAGGAACCTTCTGAACAGGATGGGAAGTGCGGTAGAATATTTAGGGAAGGTGAGAATAAATATCTCACATAAAACTTTCAATGACAAGGAACTTTTCAGTTACTTCTTTAAACAGGAAGACTTCTGCTGAATTCAGCCAACACATCCACATCTAATTTGTCCAAGACAATGGTCAGGATAAAATGCAGATGTTTCACTGATAAAACAATTTCCACCAATAGGACCAAAAAAATGGGATCTTCCCTTTTGCAGCACTTGATAACTTGTAAAAACTTGCTTTAGAGATAATCCCCCAGTCCTAATGTTTCAGGTGGTGTGAAGGGAATGTAAGAAAGTGTAAGCACGCAGCTGCTAGTATGATGTTGGATTTAGGACAATTAGGATTTTTCTAATGTCCATGTAAATAATTAACTGGTCAACAAATTGAACTGAAAACCGACAAGTCGGAGGTTTGAATCTGGGGAGAGTATGGATGAGCTCTCTCTGTCAGCTTCAGCTCTCCACGCGGGGACATGAGAGAAGCCTCTAACAAGGATGGTAGAACATCCGGGCGTCCCCTGGGTAATGTCCTTGCAGATGGCCATTGCTCTCACACCAGAAGCGACTTGCGGTTTCTCAAGTCGCTCCTGATACAAAAACAAAATACAAAAACAAACAAACAAATGGGTACTTGTACAGTAAACTATTAACACAAATAGACTTTTGCTAAAACAAAAAGAGAGCAATCCCTTCCCTTTTTTATCCATTGACCCTGAATCTAATCACTAAGGTCTTCTGTCCTACAACAATTTCTTCAAACATGAAGAGGGAATTTGTTCAAATAATAATGTCTTCCCCATTGTCAGGCAAAGCGCTCTTGATTTCAACTTTTATTTCAATATATTTTTATTTACAACTTTTCAACCAATGTGTTAGGACCATTTTATTATTTCAATGGGCAATCCACAATGAATGCTCCATAAAACAAAACTAATTTGCTTACTTGATGCTTCAACTAGTTCTGGATGGAGGGAATAAGGAATTAAAGGATCTGGTAGATCTGCAAAGAAAGCTTTCAGAGCCCCTGCCACAGCATTTACAGTTACATCCATTGATTCTAGACTGATATTATGATCTGTAAAATAATATAAAATAAAAATGTATTAGTAACGTGAAAACGCACACATATTGCATTTCTCAAAATCCTATACCAAATGAACACAAAATGATATTTTAATTTTAAATTTTAAATAGTTGAGCTAATATGCTGTGATGTCTAATATTAAGTACTGATCAATTTATAATACTACTGAGCATATGTTCAAATATTCTAACTTACTTTGTCCAGTGATACAAAAAACATTTGCTCAGATTGATCCCACGGTTAATTTATTTTCAGTCTCATAATTTGGGGCAGAGACAAGTTTTTTCTAACTTCTATACCCTTTATCTTAGGATCCCCAGATACACTTATATGCCAAGCATGAAAGTCTGTACAGAGCTTTATAATAACATCTACTTGAATAATAATTCACACTCATGGGAATTTCATAACTTACTTTTGCTAAATACAATTAGAGAGCCCTCCTTAGACATTTGTGCTTATTGTGCCAAAGACTAGCTTACTTCTAAATATAGTGGACCTTTGAAGGCAGAACTTTTTTATATCCATGTCCCCATCAAAAGTTTTAGGCAAACACATATTCAGGCAAATTCCTGAAATATTACTAGACTATTATGGAAGCATTTTCTTTATGACTTAACACGAATCAAATTTATTTTCTGTGTTTTGTTCTAACTGGACTTCTTACAGAAAGTGTTTCAATATTTTTATTTAGAGTTAATCTTATTATTTGGTTTTAATTAGTCATTAAGCTCAATGTAATTTTCACATTACTTGTTTATTTTTGGTATTTTGTAACCTGCCTTGAGAGGGCTCTTGTCTTATACTGATACTTTTAAGTTTTTTTAATATATTTAATGGTGCCACCTAAAGCATGTTTAAATACATTTAAAAAAATAAGTGAATTGTACAGGCTGTTATCTGTAATATAATTTTATATAGGAAAAAAATGAGCAAGAGAAAAAATTCACAAGAGAATTCAAGTGCTGGGGAAAGGGCAGGAATTAGTAACTGATAGCATTATCTGTTTTTCTCACTTAAAATAGCTATCAACTGAAGGAGAGTACTCAATAATTCATATTACATGTTGCAGGAGGTTAGAAATGGAAGAGCATATTCTTTTCTTTTCTTTTTTGGAAAAGTGTTTTTTTTAACACTTGTGAATTTCAAATTGAATTTTCTCCCCAAAGTATTATTTGCTTTGCTTTACAGTAATAAATCCAGAAGGTCTTCTTAGAAAAGCACACATCAATTAGGGAAAATAACATCATTTAGTTATCATACCAACTTTCAGGTTTCATAAGGCTGCGGCTTATACACATTAGCATCAATACTAGCTACTGCCAAATCATACTTAGCATTTAATGCAGCGATGATATAAATACATATTCCTCAGTTTCTTTATTTATAATAAAAAGGATCCACATTTTATATAATCCATAAAATATAGTAGTCCATCAGATACACTATAAATGTTTTGATGTTAACCATGTCCCACATTACCTTGATCAAACTGCTTTTGAATGTTGTCCTGATCTGTTTTATTCCCACTTACACGATAGAGACCTTCAGTACAAAGACCTTAGGGAAAAGAATAACAATGCCACATGACTGTAGTTTGAAAATGCAGCAACGGTGACATATTGCAGAGCACAAGTAAAATCAGTGTTTATTAATAATGTGTAAAACTGTCAATTTCTACAATTATTGTGATCTGAATTTTTAGTATTGTATATGCAAGGTACCATTTAAAAATGCTTAGAAGAAGGAGCTAATTCATAAAGGTAAAGGTTTCCCCTTGCAGTTCAGTCTAGCCGTGTCCGTCTCGGGGGGGGGGGGGGGTGCTCATCTCAATTTCTAAGCTGAAGAGCCGGCATTGTCCGTAGACATCTTCTAGGTCATGTGGCCAGCATGACTTAATGGAGTACCGTTACCTTCCCACAGAAGCTCCCCCTGCTCTTTTGAACCACCAATGTTTCGGTCAGCAAGTTCAGCAGATCAGTGGTTTAACCCGCTGTGCTACCAGGGGTCACGAGAGGAAAACCAGTCTCAGTTTCAATGGACACAAACTTACTTTGTTGTAACTATTATTAGAAAGAAGGAGCTAATTCATAGCTAGATGAAATACCCTCACTTTTATAAAATATAGGCAGTTAATGTGTTGTCAAAGGCTTTCATTGCCGTGGATAATTTCAACAGGGAGGAACCCGTGAAAATGAACAGAATCTGGCTACCAGTATTGAAAAAACTCTAAAATCAGGACAGTAAATAAAGAGCAACACTAAAAAAACAGAAGAATTCCAGACAGGAAACAATCAGGGCCAGCTAACACTTCCCAACAAAGGATTACCTCTGGCAGGAAGCAGCCAGGCTTTGAAGCTGCAAGGCAATTCAATGCTAATCAAGGTGGCCAATTGCAACATTCACACTTGCCTCATGCTGACAAGAGTTCTTTCCCCCAATCCTGGACATTCCAGAGACATATAAGCTCCACTTGCCCAGTTTCCAACAGACCACACAACCCCTGAGGGTGCCTGCTATAGATGTGGGTGAAACATCAGGAGAAAATGCTTCTGGAACATGGCCATACAGCCCAGAAAACTTACAGCAACCCTATAATCAGTTACTTGTTGCCTCAGAAATTGCATACAGTTTATCCTTCTGTATCCATGGATTCCAGCATACACAACTTTAAAAATTCAAAAACTCGGCCCTGATTTTGCCATGCCATTGTGCATAAAGGGACTTGAGCATCCAAGGATTTTAGAATTCATCAGGTGTTCTGTAATTAAACCCCAGGGGATACAAAGGGCCAGCAGTATTTTAATTGCATTTTTATATCCTTAGTAACTACTGTATTATGAAAAAGCTCCAGCTCTTATGTACTTACAATTCTCATAATTCCTCTTCATATTCTCACATTTATTTACTTCTACTCAAAGAATGAGATATACACTAAATTCATAATTGTACAAAGATCTCAAACTCCACACATAGTTTAAGAATGTAACAATGAACTCTAATGTACTGAGGTAGGAAACAGAAAGAAGAGCCAAGAACTCACACACTTTCGGATGTCAGAAATAAATGCCAACTGTGTTTCATCAGATCAGAACATTGTAAAATTTGCCTTGTCACCCATGTATGCAGTCATACAACAATCAAATTTATTTCCCTACCCATGAGGTCAAATGGGAGAGTTTGGTCTAAATCTGTTTGCCCCAACTATAGTAAACACACTGTATCAGTAAGAATTTGGTATGTACTCTTGAAGGCTAATTGGTTCAATGAGCCTATTCCAATTAAGCCTAACAATTGGATTTAGGTCATAAGAACAGCGAAGGAAAGAGAGGGGGGGGGGGAGAAAGAAAATATGCAGAAGAACTAGTAATACAATTATATCTGAGAAGTGAATGGGAAAAAAAGAAAAAGGAAAAGGGAAGGCAAAATAGACTAAAAGCAATGGAAGCCAAAGTACAGTAACAGTGAGAGAATTAAATACAGGGAGAATAGTAACAAGTAAGCAAAAAGATGCTTGAAAGTAATAGCTGTTCTTGCAGAATGTTAGGATAGGGTAAGCTAGGGTAAAGACTGTATCTAAAGCAACTTCTGAGAAAGCACAACTGCTTGAAAAATGTATCTATGAAAGTATTATAAAGGGTTCTGATGCAATGTGGTACTGTACTGGATGTGGATTACTTAGTGTACCACTTTTTATTTTAAAAAACACAACTTTGTGTTATTTTTTAAAATCTGCAGCCTTGGCACATCCTTTATGCTATATTATGAACATAAGAAGGAAAAGAATGGAACTGGGAGAAGAATTACCGTATTCATTATTTACATTTCAGATAAATTTATCAGAAATAAAAACTTACATTTTAACGCTTATACCTGATATTTCATTTAATAATGAAATGGTTAAAAAAGCAACACAATTCCCACGTGCAATATTCCCAGGAACAGCTACTTGAACAGCACCTTATATATTACCTAAAGAGAAGTAAATGGAATATCTACTAAGGTATTTGAAAATAATTCAATTATCTGCATTAGGTGTGAATCAGGAAATATTCAATTCAAATATTACTTCAGCAAAAAACTAACGCACAACCTCTGGGATGCTTGCCGTAGATGCAGGCATAAATGTTTCAAGAGTTCTTCCTCCCATCCTGGACATTCCAGATATATAAACCCAATTTCCCTAGGAGAAATGCCTCTAGAACATGGCCATATAGCCCGAAAAAACCTACAACAACCCACCAATTTCCCTAGTTTCCAATAGATCTCATAACCTCTGAAGATGCCTGCATCTATGGCAGGCATCTTCAGAGGTTATGAGGTCTATTGGAAACTAGGGAAATTGGTGGGTTTTTGTAGGTTTTTTCGGGCTATATGTCCGAAAACGTCAGGAGAGAATGCTCCTAGAACATGGCCATATAGCCCGATAAACCTACAACAACCCAATAAACTAACTTCCCTGGCCATACACAAGTCATGATTACAGGTATGCACAGTAGAAGGGATGTTATAACAGGATAATCCTACTGACCAAATTTACAGGGCTGCTATTAGGATTTCCAAGAACATAATGATTACTGAGAATATGGAGTGCTTTGAAAACTTCTAAAGATGCTTCTGCTATTCAAAGACACAGATGTGTTATCAGCATACAAAGAAATCTTTATGTACTGATACTGTAGTACCAGAAACAAAGGGAAAGAAGTTTGCAATATAATCTTTCATAGACTCAGTTAAAGTAAAGTAAACTGAGTTTAACAAAAGTTTGCTACAGGCACCTGTCTCTCAGTAATATTCATTGCCCTAAAAATTCTACTTCAAACTGTCAGGCCAATTGAAATTCTTATGAGCAATTGAATGGTTATGTTTGATTACAAAAAGTTGTATGTATTATAGATAAAATCTGTAATATACAGCAAAAACACTTAAGTTGCTGTAGTTTTACCAAATATGGAAAGCAAAAACTATCTATCCAACATATATCAATAGTAGTACACTTCCCCTGTTGGGATTTTTTATCTTCTCTTTAGTACTGGTTGTTTTTGGAAAGGTGCACAAAATCTCTCGATATTTTGTGATGGCCTGTAATGAATCTCACACAATTGTACAACATTTTCATGTAAGGAAATATAATACAGGAAAACCTTTATTGGAGAATTGGTGTGGTCCAATAGTAAGAAATGATGTATGGATTTCTGAGGTCCAGAATCAAAGATCCCACTTGGCCATGAAATTTAATAACATTGGGTCGGCTACGACCTCAGGCAAACCGCACAGGATTGTTGTAGAGTGACCATGAAATGTATAAAAAATAATCTTGCATGGAATATAAAAAATTACTAATTTAGAAAGATTAAACAATAAATATTGGAACATGTTTAGGAATACATTTGAAAACTATCAAAGAAATACATTAAACAGCCTCCATGCATTTACTAGCATTTAAGATAATACTTTGAGTCATAGGATCAGTCTTTGGTTATGTTTCATTATTGCCAGTAAAGAAATAATATAAAAGAAGAAAATAAAGGCAGATGTTAGAATGCTGTAATATGGTAGCAGATCAGCACTCTGGATAACTAGGTCTGTTTTCATATTTGAATCCATAACATCACACAACATCAAGGTTAGTCAAGGACAGTCATCCTCAAACCATCGCTCTCCAGTTGTTTGGGCTGCCAACTTCCAGAGGCCCTAACCAGCTTGTTCAATGGTCAGGAATTCTGGGAGTTGGAGACCCAAACAGCTGGAGGGTCACTGTTTGAAGATGCCTGGTCTAGGACATTGTTTACTACTTTTCAGTTCAATGGACTTGCCCCCACAAAGTCAAAACAAGTTCAGATTATGCTACTGCCATGGTTAGTAAAGGAAAGAGCCCACTAGTTCTTAATTAGGGAACAAGCAGTACTTGCAGTTTTAACCTACAAATAATTCAGTAATTCTGGAGCTTCCAAAGAAGGCATAGAATCATAGTAACAGGAACAAGCACTAGTTCTCTGGTAAAGCTACATTTCTACAGCTAAAATAAATTAAATCTACATACAACAAATTGTGGGAAATTTCTGTGAAGCTCAGAATACTTCTGCAAGGCACTGTATTACCAGCTATTTTCTTGTTCCTAAAACTGTCCAATATTATGTGAAAACCATCTCTAGAATTTGTTGTATTAGCTGTACCTGATACACAAAAGATAACTAAAGATATGGAGTTGCTAAATATTTTTATTGTAAAACCAATATTAAGAAAACAAACACAAACTGGCATTTCTTGGCTGCATAAGCACTCACCCATAGATTTAGCGTTTGACAGAATTGTAGCTGTAAGTATTCTTGGGTAAAGTTTTATCAGCTTTGCACATACGGATCCCATTTTTTGCCTACTCTTCTTGGAAAAACTGCTCCAGCACAGTTAAGTTGGACTTGATGAACCCCAACTTTCAATTCTTATGCCAGATTTTCAATAACATTGAGGCCTGAACTCTAACTGAGCCATTCCACACATGTTCTGTGGTACAGTCGAAAAATTCAATAGCCTCATTAGGCCAGAGAACCTCTTTGTCCAAATATTTGCAAAAGGTTACACTGGAGACATAGCAAGCTTTAATGGGTCTAAATTCAACACTGACTTTCTTCTAGCCACCTTTTCACAAAATCCAGTGTGGTAGAAGGTCTGGGAATGTCTCTCATTTCAGCTGCAGATCTCCTCAGCACCTACAGAGTTATAATTGGGCTACTGGCTTCTCTGACCTATGCTCTCCTTACCAGGTCATTGAATTTAGGAGGACAGCCTTTTGCTACTCTACAACTGCAGAGCTGCAACTCTGACAGAGCTGAAACTGAGCCATAACCTTTCCACTTTGTAATAACAGATTTAATGCTGCTCCAGGAAATGTTCATATTGGTGACTTATGCCTATGCAATAGCTCCTTGATGCTGTTTATTTAGATATGGACTCCTGGACCTTCTAGAAATAAGTGTATTTATTCTGAGATCATGTTAACGGTAGAACTGCACACAGATAAACTCCATTCAACATTTTAGGTCATATCTGGAGACAATTGGTTGTACCATTAAGCTAACTAATACAACCAAAATGTGACAGATCATTTCTGTTTACTATTTGCAACTTCAGACTGTTAACTATTCTGTATGCATCAAGTAGATAATTTATTTCAGTTGAATTCTAAGGTGTAACACATAAGTTATGGAAAAATGGGTGAAAGATATTACACTGATGACTTATGGCCACACACACTAAGAAAGCATGCACTATCACTGTTTCTGCAAAATTAATCTTTAAAGCAATTAAAAATGAAACCAGATGTGATTTTCAAACTCTGAAAGATGACTCCGATAAAATATTTTTTTCAATTTACAAACACATTATGGAAAGAATCAAAGAGATCATGTTACAGGTTAATGCAATTCTTACAACTGAACAAGTGTTATTTTACAGTAATTTTTACATCTTTACATATAGTGGGCAGCCGATCTGTGGAGGCTCCATGCTGGAATCCCAATGGATGGCAGATATCTGTGCCTTAATTTTTAAAATGCATTGACATGCGTGATCAGCATGTCTATGTGTATTCTGCTGCCACTTTAAATTTGGATTGTGACAATCCTGTTCAAACAGTGGATTGGTGTATTTTAAAGATAAATTTACTTTAATAATAAAAAATGATTTGTACATTGAATGTCTGGTCTGGGATGAATACGGAATGGGGAAAGTCAGAGGAATAGCAACAGAGAACCGAAAAAAGAGAAGAGAGAAATGTCAGAGACATCAAACAACATGCAGTAGCAAAAGGCATTCTCTCTCACCAGCACTGAATCCCAAAAGCCAACCAATCTGTCTGATGCAGTGAGTGGCTGCTTATCAGTTGCCGTTCAAATATAATCTTTTAATCCCAATTATGTTTTATTTAAATGCAACTCTTTTTTTTAGGAAATTTGTAAACATATTTCTACATTGACACATAATATAAAGCTATAAACAATAAGATACAAGACTCTGGGGACAGGGGGTGGAGTAAAAACTATTCTATTTTTTCCTACCTGTGTCTTCAATGAAGTCCACACACTTCTCAACAAAGAATGGGATAGGCTTTTCGGGTGTAACCAAATCCTGCAGGGGCATCCCAAAGTAATTGCTATCCCAATTTCTACGAGTTGGTGGATTGAATGTCTTCGTTTTCTTTTTTTGCTACAACAAAGGCACATAATTGTTAGCCAACATCAGTAACTGAAACTGTAGTATGTACATAACGCAGATGCACCAGGACACTTTTTCAAACAGCAACATTAGTTTTGAATACATTAAAAAAACAGATCAAATAAAAACAACAATCACATTATTTATGTTGTTGAACTTATTGATCTTATAAATCAGTGGTTCTCAACCTGGGGTCCCCAGATATTTTTGGCCTCCAACTCCCAGAAATCCTAACAGCTGGTAAAGTAGCTGGAATTTCTGGGATTTGTAGGCCAAAAACATCTGGGGACCCCAGGTTGAGAACCACTGTTATAAATCTTTAGGCAAGGAACACTCAGAGGTAGTTTTGTCTGAAATGATGCCTACCGTACCTGGTTTTCACTGCTAGTCTCCCATTAAAGTACTAGTCTCCCATTAAAGTACTAAGCTTTCGATGGGTGAATAACTCGGGACTATGCCTGTTCTTGTTTTATTGTATTTTAAAGTAAATTGTATTGTTTTAATCTACTGCTGTAAACCGCTCTGAGCCAAATTGGGAGTAGCAGTATACAAGTCAAATAAATAAATAAATAAGTAACCCCTACTTAGCTTACAAGATCAAGACAGGATCTGGTGCCTTTAGAGTATTTTGGTCATCTGTGCATTGATACATACCTATAAATAACTAGGCAACAACATGGTTTAGGGCAGTGGTTCCTAACTTTTCTGCATCATAACACCTCTAATAACCTCACCAAAGCCATAGAACTTCTCCCTCTAACATTATGTGTCTCACCTAACCATCAGCAGTAGAATCATTTGCAATCCCAAACTCATTTGGTCTGAAACATTTCTTTCAAACCATAAATTTTAGATTTCTTTTAATTACAAAGACAATTTTCAAATCAACATAGAGGAAATATATTTTAAAACCTCTTTTATAGACTCGCTGAAGCTCACCCATGCAGCACCAATATTTTAAGTTAAAGGAGTTAAATATCAATAATGTAATGCACTTTTATTCATGTATGATGAACGTTCCTCCAATACTCCTGGCAATTGTCTTCTCCTACTACAACCCCCCCCCCCCCAACATCATGACTTATACTAAACCAGAAACAGGGAACCTGTGACCTGCACACTTATCCACTCCAATTCCCAAGTTTCTTCTACGGGTTTCTGTAATTACCAATGAAAGAAAAAGAGTTTAAATATATTCAGCTCCCTGCTGAGAAATGAGTAGTGCTTTGCAAACAAGAAATATATTGCCCTGGACTTATTCTTGCTCAGCACTGAGTTGTATATTTATGTTGCAAAATAGTTTAAAAAATAGAAAATGGTAAAAATTAAACTTGTCCCTAGCCAATTTACATTGACCCTGTCCTAAGTCCTAAACTACAGCAAAATCTATATCTATCTATCTATCTATCTATCTATCTATCTATCCATATAATAAAAGTCAAAACTTGTATGCGGCGGATGTGTGGCGGGAGGAGTATGTGCCAGCGTTCTGATTGGATGCCGCTGTGGTGCTATTTGCATATGGTCTCTGATTGGCCAGCTTCAATAGGAGCCCCTGGCGGAGAAAAGAGTTCATGACAGAAACGGGGACATGAGAAGGATATTTGCATATGGTCTCTGATTGGCCAGCCTCAATTCCAAGATTCCGAGATGACAAAGAGGGGAAAGGAAAAGGCCAGAGGGAGCTGGTCAGACAATTACCAATACAGACCAGACTTGGCACACAAAGCCCCCATGACCCACTCTACATCCTACTGCAGTTTGGAGGAGGATGAACCATGGATAATGGGACTTGCAGTACCATCACTCACATTCTGAGACCGCTGTTAACCTCATCCAATGACTGATCAGGACCAAACTTGGCACATAGACCTCTCATGACCCACTTTACGTCCTGGTGTGGTTTGGCTGGGGATGGACCATGGATTATGGGACTTGCAGTACCTTTGCTCAATTCTTGAGAGCACTGCAACCCTCATCCAATTACCGATAAAGACCAAACTTGGCACACTGAGTCTCCATGACGCACTGTACATCCTGGTGTGGTTTGGAGGAAGATGCACCATGGACGATGGGACTTGCAATACCTGCACTCCCTTCCTAAGACCATTATAACTGCCAACAATGATGGATCAGGACCACAATTTACACAGAGAACCCACATGACCCACTCTACATCCTGGTGCGATTTGGAAGAATTTGACAATGGATGATGGGACTTGGAATCACTTCACTCACTTCCTGAGACCACTGAGACCACTGAGATCCTCACCAATGACTGATCAAGACCAAACTTGGCACACAGAGTCCCCATGACCCACTCTACATCCTACTGCAGTTTGGAGTAGGGCATACCATGGATGATGGGACTTGAAGTACCCCTACTTGCTTTCCGAGACTGCTGCGACCCTCAACAATGACTGAACAACACAAAACTTGGCACATAGACCTCTCATGACCCACTTTGTGCCCTGGTGTGGGTTGACTGTGGATCGAGCATGGATTATGGGACTTGCAGTACCTTCGTTCAATTCTTGAGACCACTGCAACCATCATCCAATTTCCGATAAGGAACAAACTTGGCACCCCGGGTCTCCATGATGCACTCTACATCCTGGTACGGTTTGGAGGATGATGCACCATGGACAATGGGACTTGCAGTTCCATCACTCACTTAGTGAAACCACTGAGACCCTCATCCAATGATTGATGAAGACCAAACTTGGCACAGAGAGCCCCCATGGCCAACTCAATATTCTGGTAAGGTTTGGGGGAGAACAGACAATGGATGATGGGACTTCAAGTACCTCCACTCACTTCCCAAGACTGCTGCAACCCTCATCTAATGACCAATCACGACCAAACTTGGCACACAGAGCCCCCATGACCCACTCTACATCCTGGTGCTGTTTTGGAGGAGGGTAGACCATGGATGATGGAACTTCCACTACCTTCACTCACATTCTGAGACCTCTGCAAACCTCATCCAATGACGGATCAAGACCAAACTTGGCACATAGACCTCTCATGACCCACTTTACGTCCTGGTGTTGTTTGGAAAAAATTGGAGATGGATGATGGGACTTGAAGTACCTTTGCTCACTTCCTGAGACCACTGAGACCCTCGCCAATGACTAATCAAGACTAAACTTGGCACATGGAGCTCCAATGACCCACTCTACATCCTGGTGCAGTTTGGAGGAGGACAGACCATGGATGATGGGACTTCAAGTACCTCCACTCCTGTAGCGAATTTGTTACTCTATATGAAATTTTAGTGCATAGATCTATGTTCGCAGGGGGCAGATAGGGAAGATTATAGACAAGAGAGGGTAGCAACAGAGGGACTGGATTTATTTGCATATGGAGGCTGATTGGTCATATGCAGATTAGCATAGCCCCAGGATTTCAAAAGGTGGGAAGACAAAATGACAGTTGGGTAGAGCAGGGCCGAACATTCTAAAGGGGCGGAGTCAAGTTCAAAAAGGAGGGGAGTTAGAGAGAGAGTTTTAAGAGAGAGTGAGTTGAGTAGGGATTGCAGTTGGTAAAGGACAGAGAGTTAGGGATTCCTGTTCATGAATGGTAGTTAATAAATCCTGTTAGAAAAGTAAGCTGCTAATCAAATAGAGTACAAGTTTGAGAACCTAAAGAAAAGCCAGTAGTGCTTGAATTGGAAAGTACTTTTAGTCCTGCATGTGTAAAGCAAATATCATCTTGATAAATGAGAAACATTGGAAGCCTATTTCAGGAGAGTGCAACAAGTATATATGTGACTGGAACCCAAGTTTGCAACAAAAATAGTAATTGTAACCACAAGCGTCTGGAACCTGAAGTGTTTAAATAAACTTGTTACTTTGTTTCACACGAAAGAGACTCAAGCCTGTGTTTCCAAGCCAAGAGGCTTCTGCTTTATAACACCCATAGCAATCCAGATATTAAAGCTTTGGCAGAAGACTGCACATAGGTGCATGCTTCTTTTAACAAACTGGTGTCCTCCCTCCCTGGTGTTACAACTCCCTTCCGAAGATTGCTACAACCCTCTTCTAATGACCAATCAAGACCACACTTGGCATACAGAACCGCCATTAACCACTTTCTCTAATAACCCAGGCAGCGCCGGGTCGCCAAGCTAGTATATAATAAAAGTCAAAGTTTGTATGCGGCGGATGTGTGGCGGTGTATGTGCCGGCTTTCTGATTGGCCAGCCTGAAAGTTCCAAGATTCTGACTGGCTGCTGCTGTGGTGCTATTTGCATATGGTCCCTGATTGGCCTGCTTCAACAGGAGCCCCTGGTGGAGGAAAGGGTTCATGACAGAAACGGGGACATGACAGAAGGAAATTCGCATATGGTCTCTGACTGGCCAGCCTCAATTCCAAGATTCCGAGATGACAAAGAGAGGAAAGGAAAAGGCCAGGGGCTGGGTCAGAAAATGACCAATACAGACCAAACTGGGCACACAGAGCCCCCATGACCCACTCTACATACTGCAGTTTGGAGGAGGATGAAACATGGATGATGGGACTTGCAGTACCATCACTCACATTCTGAGACTGCTGTTAACCTCATCCAATGACTGATCAGGACCAAACTTGGCACATAGACCTCTCATGACCCACTTTACATCCTGGTGTCATTTGGAAAAATTTGGAGATGGATGATGGGACTTGCAGTAACTTCACTCACTTTCTGAGACCTCTGAGACCCTCGCCAATGACTAATCAAGACCAAACTTGGCACACAGAGCCCCAGTGCCCACTCTACATCTTGGTGCAGTTTGGAGGAGGACAGACCATGGATGATGGGACTTCAAGTACCTCCACTCCCTTCCCAAGATTGCTGCAACCCTCATCTAATGACCAATCTAGACCAAACTTGGCACACAGAGCTCCCATGACCCACTCTACATGGAAGAAGGTATATCGATTTTAGTATGGCGACTGACCACTGTAGTTTTAAATATATGTGCTTTTTTAATGTTTTATTGTAATGT